GTCTTACCCCACAAGCTGGTCACTTGCTCACCAGTCTGCCCTCCTAGCCTGGTACCCCCATACCAGTTCTCTCTCTGGGTCCCCTGCACCTTGTCAGGGAAGGGGGACAGAAGATCTTGTCCCCCCACTCTGATCCAGTGCTCAACACTTCTCTTGTGGTCTTCCTGTTACACTGGGGCTTTCCTCTCATCCCTTGGCTGTTTGGATCTGTCAGACTCTTGGCCAGAGCTGTCCCATGGGGATGGAGCAGAACAGAGTTGCCCTCTTGCTTAAGCTATAATCAGTCACTAATAAGTGACCACAGGCTTGTCTGCAGTCCCACCCTAGCAGCTGGCCACAGTCCTTGACGGTGGCAGGAATTGTTCCCGGCTTCAACGTGACCTCGTGAAAGTACCATGTCTCTCTGATTAGAGCCCAACCCTCCCCCTCACTCCTCCACCAGCCCTCCTCCTGAGCCTGCTCACAGTTCTCCTGGCCTCTCCGTCACACGTCCTCTGCCTCACAGGCTGATGCTCAAACCATAGCCTCTTCCTGGGAGCCCTGCAGAGGCCCCAGACTGATGGTCCCGGTATTGTTCCTGCCACATGTTAGAATGATCATATATTATAAGCCACTTTTGAGGGCAGGGACAAAGTCTCACTCAGTTTTACACACCAGTGCCTGGTACAGTCTCTGGTTCACAGGAGGTAATGGGGTGGGGGCGGGAGATGAGAGGGAGAGGAAGCAGGGAGAGAGGATGGAAAGAGATGGGGAAGGAGGAGAAGGAAAGAGATTTCCAGCCCTAACCTGACCTTGGAGGCCCTTTGAGGCCAAATCCCTTTCCAGCTTTTCTTGTCTCCAGCCCTCCGGACTGCTAGGGAGTGCCCAGAGCACTCCCTATACACATGCCTGTACACATGCTGTGAGCTCCATAGCACCTGGAGGCCCCTCACCCACCCTCCTCCCTTCCACATCTGTCCCTCTGGTCACTGGCCTTCCTGGTCAGACTTCCCATCCAGTCCTCCTTATCTTCCTGCCCAGTGTTAGCATCCTTCATGCTCCAACCCCTACCTGTCAAGCCATGCATCTATCAAAAAACTGTTTTCGTGTGTGTGTGTGTGTGTGTGTGTGTGTGTGCCTGCGTGTATATGACCCACATACAAGGAGGCCAGTCGAAGGTGTTGGATTCCTGGAACTGGAGTTACAGGTAATTGTGGGCCACCTGATGTGGGTGTGGGAACTGAACCCTGATCCCCTGCATGCTCTTCACCACTGAGCCATCTCCCCAGCCCCACCCAGTCTTTCTGTGATTGGACAGCACCCACATGAGTGTAAGCTCCACTAGGGGAGGTTTTAGTGCTGTGCTCGGAGCAGTTCTCCCAGCACCTAGAGTGATGCTGCTGGGGTGAAGTCTTCCTTCCAGGCCCTCCCACTTGTCCCTCTTTGTGAGGCTTCCCTTGCTTTCCCCAAGAATCCCTTTCTGGCTGTTGTTGGTTCTGTGTCTTGTGCCCATGTCGTTACTGGATCACGGGCCTAGCTTAGCCCAGGTTCCCTACAGGAAAGATCTGGGGCAAAGCCTTCTTAAAGAATATAATGCTGGGAAAGAGGGAGTAGTCATGGGTGGGGAAGCAGAGAGTCAATGGAGGGTAAGAGGGTCCTGTGGACTCTGCCATGACTCCCAGGTAGATCTACACTGAGGCCCTTACCTCCAATAGGGTGACCTAAGGCAGAGCTGAATGCCCCCCCACACACACCCAGAGGTTGCAGGCTTGGTCTCCAGTTTGGCACTATTGGAAGGCGGTAGAAATGCGAAGAGGCAGGTGGTCTCGGTTCGTGGAGGGGAGGAGAGGCGTGTCCTCCAAGGACTGTGGTACCCCGGCTCTCTTTCCCTTTTGTTCTCAGCCATCGGCTGAACATGCTGCTCTGCCACACATTCCTGCCATGATTGTCACCAAAGCCCCATAGCAATGGGATAGCAATGGGGCTGAAAGACCCCAGCTTAGCTACTGTAATGCCATTTTGCAAAGCCTTCACACAAACAAATGTAAGTTCAAGGTAAAGTCAGTACTCCTAGGCAGTCAAACAGGATATCTATGGTCAGACACCAGGCCTAGGAGGGGAACGAACAGCTCTGGGAAAAACTACATGTACCCTAGATAGGGCCAAGTCTGTTATTATTATCAGACCTTCATGTCTCCAGGGAACTTGTCCCCTAAATGAACCCATTGCCTCATTCGAACTGACCAATGAGATCCCTGTAACCATGCATTGCTTCTGTATGCCTGCTTTTGCTACCCTTTTCCTATAAAAAAGACCTTCTCCCAGCCTGCAGGCGGGCAAGTCCTCCGAAAGGACTTTGCCGCCCACAGGTACCTGTGCCCACCCAATAAACCTCTTGCTAATTGCAGCCAGTGGTGTCGACTGTTCCTTGGGTTAGGGGTCTCCTCCTGAGGGAAGGACCACTCTGAGGGTCTTTCAGGGGCTAGTCCATCATGCATTGGAAACTCCATAATCATGAACCAAGCTTTTCTCTCTTCAAGCTGATTTATGTCAGGCATTTCTCACAATAACAGAGAGCTGGTTGGTACAGATGTTTGAAGATAAAGACCAAGGGCAGGAGATAGCGAGGGGGCCTTGGTGGGATTAGTGTTCTAATAAGAAGGTATCTCTCCTGAACGTTAAGTTTCCCACACTGGGGTTGTTTCTTGGCCACACAGAGCAGATGAACCTCAGAAGGTCTGATTCGGGCCAGCCATCAGACAGGAGCACAGTGTCTCCTAGCCAACCACCGTATGGGCACCTCAGCTAGTGAGAGCTGCCACTGTGCTGACAGGCGGCTTTGTCACTCTGTTCAGGAAACAAGGCAAGTGGGCTGAGCAGATGCAAGTGGTATTTAGATGTATCTAGAACAGTAGTTCTCAAACTGTGGGTCGTGATTACTCTGGAGTTGTGTTGACTGAGATTTCTGTTCTACCCAGTCCTGCAGTTATTCAGTTCCAAAGAAACACACAGAGGTCTACATTAATTATAAACTGATTGGCCTATTAGCTCAGGCATTTTATTAACTCTTATAACTCTTATAACTTATATTAGCCCATAATTCTTGTCTATGTTAGCCACGCGGCTTAGTACCTTTTTAGGCAAGGCAGTCACATTTTACTTCCTCCGTGTCTGGATGAAGACTGTAGACTGAGCTTTCCTCTTCCCAGAATTCTCCTGTTCTCATCACCCTGCCTCTACTTCCTGCTTGGTCGGCCTGCCTATACTTCCCGCCTGGCTACTGGCCAATCAGCGTTTTATTAAACAAGTACAAGAAACAAATCTCTACAGGGTAAAACCATTGTCCCGCAGCAGAGTTGAGCAACCCTTTTACAGGAGTCACATATCAGATATTTACATTATGATTCATAACAGAAGCAAAAGTCTAGTTATAAATAATTTTAATTTTGGGGGTCACCACAGCATAAGAGTCTTAGTTAGGGTTTTATTGCTGTGAAGAGACACCATGACCATGGCAACTCTTACAAGGAAAACATTTAACTGGGGTGGCTAGCTTACAGTTTCAGAAGTTTATTCTATTATCATGGCAGGGAGCTTTGTGGGGAGCATGGAGATGAACAGGCAGACATGATGCCCATTGTATCCTGACCAGAAGATAACAGGAAGTCAACTAAGAAACAGGGCAGTATCCTGAGCACAGGAAACCTCAAAGTCTGCCCCCAGTGACACCCTTCATCCAACAAGGCCATATCTGCTCCAACAAAGCTACACCTTCTAATAGTGCCGGTCCTTATGAGTTTATAGGGGCCAATTACATTTAAACTAGCACACATGAGAAACTGTATTAAAGGGTCACAGCTTTGGGAAGGTGAGAACCATTGCTCTAAAACAATGTCTGTCCTGTTGTGAACTGAGTTCTCCTTTCAGGCAGGATCCTAGCCATTTCCTACTGCTGACCCAAGTCCAGGTACCACGGATGTTTAGTAATAAGGGGGGACGTTTATCTCTTGGGTAGCTGCGGAGTGTAGCTAAAATTCTGTGTTCCTGTCTGGGTGGAGCCTCTGAAATATATTTCCCTGGAGCCTGGGCCTGGTGAAGAAAACACTGGGGATTATTTGTAAGTACAGCTAAGAACAGAGACAAGATTACTCAGTCCTAGAGACATACCCACTCCTTCCAAGCAGTCTGTCAGTCCCAAATAGATGACCTTACATTGAGAGGGGCTCCTACAATCTCTGGGGTTTCCCAGGAGATGCTTCTAGGAGACCAGACAAAAGCCACCCTCCCCACCCTCAAAGGCAAAGACAGTTCTTTTCTCATGCATCCCTCACCTGCCACAGACAATAGAGGTGTAGATTTTCTTAGCATTTATTTTTTTTCCTTGTGCCCTCGGGGGTGAGAATTGGGAACCCAGTGGTAGCTCTTTGCCTTTTTTTTTTCCTCTCTCTCTCCATTTTATTTTATATATATGAGTATTCTGTCTACAAGCTGTTTGTGCATGCAGTGCTCATGAAGGCCAGAAGAGGGCATCAGATCCCCAGACCAGAGCTGCCATGTACAAGGTGGGACTCAAACCCAGGTCCTCTGGAGGAGCAGCCAGTGCTTTGAACTGATGAGTCATTGTCTGTCCTATCACATCTTGTGCACACTGAGGATGAGATCAGTTACCCTGAGTCTGAAAGTCCAAGCTGCAGTATCCAAGGACTTTCCTCTGCTATGAAATCCCAACCCCAGGGAGCAGACAGCAGGCTCAGAAGGAAGTTGGCACCTCTGCTGGGCAGAGTGTGGATGCATCCTGAGACTGTGCTCCTGGGCTTCTGAAGACTGTGCCTTTGAAAGGGTGACACCTGATGGAGGAAGGTCATTGGTTAAATAAAAAGAAACTGCTTGGCCCTCATTGGTTAGAAGATAGGTGGGAGGAGTAAACAGAACAGAACGCTGGGAGGAAGAGGAAGTGAGCTCAGACTCCACAGCTCTCCTCTTGGGAGCAGATGCCTCAGAGAGATGCCATGCTCCTGGCTCCTGGGCAGACACACGCAATGAAGCTCCGACCCAGGATGGACATAGGCTAGAATCTTCCCGGTAAGCGCACGTAGGGGCGCTACACAGATGATTAGAAATGGGCTAAATTAATATGTGAGAATTAGCCTAGAAGAGGCTAGATAGAAATGGGCCAAGCAGTGATTAAATGAATACAGTTTGTGTGTTGTTATTTCGGGCATAAGCTAGCCAGGCAGCCGGGGTGCTGGGGATGCAGCTCCGCCGCCCCTATTACTACAGACACCCATATGCCTATTGAGCAGGGATTATTGTAGCCTAGGGCGAGATCTTCCCCAAGGCATCTACCAGTCTGCAAACCTCCCTATACCCTGCTAGTAGATTCCTCAGTCTACTTGGATGAGTCAGAATCCTATCCTGAGGTGTGGGCTGGGGTAGTAGCTGAAAAGCTGAGCAGAATTTAATTTGCTATTGGATGCTTTTGATTAAATCCCAAACCAACTCTAAACAGTCCTGATGTGGGAGGTGATGTATGCTGTGAATATATTTTATTGTCATTGGTTAATAAAGAAGGTGCTTTTGGGCCAATGGCTTAACAGAGTAAAGCCAGGCTGAAAGAGATATAGAGAAGGTAGAGTCAGGGAGAAGCCATGTAGCTGCCGCCAGAGATGGATGCACTGGAAGAGATGGACACGCCAGAGGAAATGGACGTGCCTGAGGAGATAGATGCACCGGAATCTTGCCAGTAAGCCACAGCCACATGGAGATATACAGATTAATAGAAATGGGTTAGTTTAAGATTATAAGAGGTAGCTAAAAGTACACTTAAGTTATTGGCCAAACAGTATTGCAAACAATATAGTTTCTGTGTGATTATTTTGAGTCAGGGTGGTTGGGAAACAAACAAGCAGCCTCTCCCAATACAGTCTCCCTCCCTTCCCCTTCTCCTCTTTCCCTCTTCCCTGTCCCCTCTCCTACTTCCTTCCCTTCCTCTCTCCACTCTGCAATGAAGATAAACAACACTGATAAGTTTGGACATGTCCTTGCCTCTGGTCAACAACATGAGTCATCTGTGTCATCTGGTAGCATTCTTCCGCTCTCAGGTCAAACTGTTTGTGTCCTTGGGACATCAGGAGCTCAGCTGGACAAGAGGAGCTATCACGGGAGACTGAACAAAGTGTTGAAGTCCATTACACTCAAAGCCATTCAGGATGCCAACTGCCCTCTCTCCCTCTCCACAACCAGTTCACTCCACCTGGGGTGGTCAGTTTGGGAGGGGAAGGGTCACAGATTTCTATCGGGGGCCTTGAGTACCAGCCTCAGTACCCACTCAGGGCCCAGAACTGGATGTCTATGGCAGGCGAGGATCTGAGGGTGAAACATTAACTCGAGTACATGACCTCTGCATCTTCTTTATTTTTCGTGCAAGGGGGGAAAATGAAGTGAAGGGGGCATGGAGGAGAGAAAGAATAGGAAGAGTAAGGGGGAAGAATAAGGACAAGAAAGAAAGAAAGAAAGAAAGAAAGAAAGAAAGAAAGAAGAATTAGCAAGGAGAAGAAGAAGAGTAAGGGCCAGTCTCCACAAGGTTTCTAGTTTTTACGACAGAGTTGGAAAATTCCACAGGCAAGGACAATGATAGTTATGCATATCAAAATCACAAAAAGGGGCAGGAAGAACCTGACAAAGCAGTACTCTGGAACAGGAAAGAGCCAGCATTCAAGGGGAAGCACCTAGCATTCCAAACCATTAGATAAAGTTACTAAACATCCCTGAGTCCTGGATTCACCCAGTCTCTTTTGTGATAACTAGCTTTGGGGATGCCCAGACTTGTTTGTTAGCAAAGGTGGGGCATGCTGTCTTCCTGATCAGTGCCTGCATTCTATAGAAATTTCTATGTGGTCTGTTAGCGGGTAATTTTGTGGGACTGACTCTATGTAAATTTGACTGTTAGAACAAAGAGTGCCTGCCATTGCTCCAAAGCCTCACGGTGTGGGGGAACGGAATAAGGTCACTCTGTCGCAGTGTAGAAGTCATACTGCTGAGGTGTTTTGGGAACGAATCCCATTTCAAAGGGGAGAATCATGGCTTCACAAGGTTTTTACAGATATGACAGTGACTTTTCCAACCAAAAGACAAATGTTCCCACAGCTCTGCAAAATGAGTTGCTCCGTGTGGACGTGGACGTATATACTTCCTGTGGGTCTGCCTGTTGGTCCATCAGCTGTGCATTCACTGTAGAGTCCTGTGGGCTCCAACAGATTTCCTGATCCTCCACCTAGAGCAGTGGTTCTCAATCTTTCTAGTGCTGAGACCCTTTAATACAGTTCCTCATCCTATGGTGACCCCAACCATAAAATTATTTTCATTCCTACTTCATAACTTCATAATTGCAATTTTGCTACTATTATGAATCATAATGTAAATATCCATGTTTTCCGACGGTCTTAGGAGATCCCTGAGAAAGGGTGGTTCAACCCCCAAAGGGGCCGTGAACCACAGGTTGAGAACTTTGGGCATGGTTGGATCTCACCAACTACAAGCCCCATCCTTGAAATGCATTCACCTGTTACTCCAGGACCAAGATGTATGTCACTCCTCTGGCTGTTTGTATGCTTCTGTGTTGATGATGTGGGCATCACATCTGGCCCCACGAGTCTCACGGAGGACTGTATCTCCAGTCGCTGCACCACCCTGCTCAGATGATACTGTGCAGCAATGTTGGATGAAAAAGTCAAAAGGCTCAGTGAAGCCTTCTCACTTACCAGAACGAGAAAACCAACTAACCTGCTCCGGGCTGCACAGCAAATCCACAATCAGTAGGAATGAGTGTGGCTCATCACCACTAACCCTTGTGTTGAAACTTGGTTGCCAAAATTGGTATTGGGACATGGAGCCTTCAAGAGGAATGACTGCTTCTCTTGCCACATTGGCCAGATCCTGGAAGAATGGGCAAATTTCCAGGAATCATGTGGGCTGTTCTTTGTTTGCCTTTTTCCTTTTCAGCCCACACCTGCTCCCCATTCTCTGTGTATTCCCCTCTGTGATACCACCTGCCAGGTTATGACGCCGTTGAGGTCTTCACCAGTGACAACCATCAGGTCTTGGAATCCCCTGCCTCGGGAACTTTGAGTTAAATAAATCTCTTTCCTTGTAAGTTACCTGGACTAGGCATTCTATTGCAGCCACAGAAAATGAACTAAGGGGCTAGAGAGATGGCTTAGAGGTTAATAGCACTGACTGCTCTTCCAGAGGTCCTGAGTTCAATTCCCGGCAACCTCATGGTGGCTCACAGTCATCTATAATGAGATCTTGTGCCCTCTTCTGGCATGCAAGCATACATGGAAGGAATGTTGTATACATAATAAATAAATAAATCTTTAAAAAAAAAGAAAATGAACTAATACAGGCATAGAGCTGGGATTCGAACTCAGGTCTGCCTGAACCCAGAGTCCTATGCATCATCCATTTTTATGCCTTCCCATAACCACATCCTTTACGTTAACCATCAATATTATCTCTGCCTTCACCAACCCCTCCACAGTGTGGCCACTGTCATCACCAACACTGCCAACCACTAGCAACCAGCACCACCATCTCTACCACCACCTTAGCTGTGGACCACCCTTAACTTTACCATCACCACGTCATCTACCATCACTACCATCGTCATAACCACAACCGTCAGCATTTCCCAAAGCAGCGAAGGCAACTGCACTGTGATCACCAACGACTCTAACTCCATCACCGTAAGTGTTACAGTTCGGATGAAAAGGTATCCAGGTAGCCGGGAGCCAGGGAATACTGCAAAGTCACACTGCACAACAAACCTCACACAAGAGATCTATGGGAGGAAGGAATCCAGGAGAGTCGCTGCCTCTGCCAGGGTGGAAAAGGACAGCTCCCAAACTAAGCAGGATGCAGGGCTTAGATAGAGTTTTTAGGGAAGGGAGTGGAGAATTTCAGGGTGGAGACTGGTGGGATTTCACACGCAAAGAGTGAGCTTTTTAGTCTACAGGGTGGAGGGAAGCAGGGTCCAGCAGTTAAGGAGTTTAGAATATTCTGTAGGTGGAACCTGGCAGTTAGAGGTCCCCGGGGGAGGGGCCTGGCCACTCATGTGGCTTGAGGCGCTTACAGTCACTACCATAGCTACCACCACCTCCTCTACCAACACCAACACAACCGCAATCAGCGTTACTCGGCTCGTCACTATCACCCCATGGACATCACCAACCATCAGCACATGCAGCAACTTCTCCCCAGCTGATGTCACTAATTGTCTACTACAACCTCAATTACCTGCACTACTACCCCGACCACAATTATCATCACCACTTCCCTTCCAGGGCCATCATTGCCAATGTGTCGCAAAATGTGTTCCGAGAACTTTAGAATACTGACGGAGCATTCCTTTCACTCCGTGGATGCCTGTTAATTGACAAACAGCTTTTCCTACAGAGAGTCCCCACTCTCCCACTGTGAATCCTCCAGTGGCTACTCTGTGACTCAGTGGCTGACACAGCCACAGAGCCCATGGGAAGCGTGGCTGGGATGATAACCTGGGATCCATGTCTGTGAGGGGTGCATCAAACAGCTGGGAACACGAGGTTCAGAACAAGCAGTGAGGCAAGGTGGGTCCTCACATCGCCCAAACAGTCTTACATTCTGAGTTCTGAAGTCTCGGGGACCAAGGTTCCACCTGCCTTTGCCTCTACATGGCTCCCAAACTCTGAGTCAGCTCCCTAACCCTTCATCTGTGCAATCAGCTGACAGTCCAATCTTTCAGGGCAGTGAAGGCGTAGGCACTGCATGGGGCCAGGCACAGTTACAAGACCGAGCTGTAGCAGGCTTTGGGCCACCACCCAGCTCCTGAATCATGACATGGAGACTTGTTATTAGTTTTGAATGCTCATCCTTAGCTTAGCTTATTTTAATCTATTTCTCTTTACGTTTTGCCTTGGGGCTTTTTACCTTTCTATCCTTCTGTATCTCTGACCTTCACTGCTTCTCCTGTGTGACTGGCCAGTGGCTGCCTGGCTTCTGGCCCCAGGTATGTCCCTCTATTTCTCTGTCATCCTCTCCATTCTTCTTCCCTTTTGTTCTTTTCAAGCCTAGATTGCTCCTCCTGTTTATTCTCTCTGACACCAGCCCTGCCTAGCCTCTGCCATCCCTCTCCTGCCTAGCTATTGGCCATTCAACGTTTTATTAGACCAATCGGATGCCTTAGACGAGCAAGGTGAACCAGCAACACATCTCTACATAACTGAACAACTGCAGTAAAACAAATGGAACATATCTTTACACCGTTAAAGTGATAGTCCCCAGCATAGACAAATGTTACCTAGTTAAAATAATTCTGCAACACTACGTCTGTACTACTAACTCTGCCTACCCAGAGTCCCACCAAGTACTTAGCGCCCTGGTCTCACCATGGTGTGGGAACAATTCCTGACCAGCATAACACAGTGACCAGGGCCCAAGGAAGGAGTGGCTCACCTGTCTGAAAGTTGGAACAGGGCAGGAGCTAGGGTCACAGGGCTTTTGCAGAGAAACTGCAGATGGGTCTTACTATGAAGAGCAGGCAGGGCTTCCCCCGGTTGGTGTGGACAGAGAGAAAAGGTGAATTGGTTTACTCTGTGCTGACTTCTGACTTCAACTCTAACGTGACTTCTACTTGCAGCATACCTAGCCGAGAGCTGAGTCCCCAAAGGCTAGGTGAGTGGATCCATGGGAGGTGATGCATTCACATAGCCTCATAGCCGGCTGCACTGGGGGTCTCTAAGAGCAGAAACAGCATTGCAATGGCTGCATCCTCAGCATCCTGGCGGAGACCAGGGCACAGGAAGGATGATTTGTTTGCACGCAGCACACCCCTTTGGCAGGCACAGGAGCAGAGGAGGTGAATGTTAGGGGTTTGTGGGCACCTTGTTGCCTGCTGGAAGGAGTAGAGAACCTGGCTGGGAGGCTAGGCTAGCCACATAGCTGCTGGGAGCCCTTTTGAGACCTCCCTGCCACTGGACATTGACTGGTTAGTGAGGCAAACGCTGTGATTTAGGCCTGGTACAGTCTCGGGGAACCTAATGGAGCCACTGAAGTCACTGCCATGACCTCCCCCAGTAGGTGTGTTCATCTGCACCCTGCTCACTGGTCCTCCAACTATCACACGGAGTCTAGTCAAAGCATCAGATCTGGTCTGTAGCTTTGAGGAAAGCTGTGAAGATAGGATCCGGCCTTGTCAGGTTTTGTTTGTAGCACTGGCTGTGAGCCCTGGGCTCCAGCTTTGGAGCTTCCCAGATGTGGGGAGGAATGCAGTAGAGGATGCTGTGTCAGCACTGGGGGAATCGGAAGTCACGAGGATGGGCTGCGTGTGTGCCCCACAGCAGGGAACTGCCCCTGGAGCATGCTACCCTTGGCTAGCCCAACTCAAGGGCATGCTGCGGCCTTGAAGGGAGAGCCCCACATTAGAAAGACCTCTAAGGTTAGGGGGAGCTGCTGTTTGATTTTGTGGGTGAGAGGGCCACTGACAGTTTCTAAGCAGCCGTGTGACATGAGAGGACACAGGACAGCAAGAAGCATCATGGGTGGTGGGAGGATCTGAGGATTGAAGTCAGACAGACCCAAAGACCTTTCCAAACAGGAGAGGGACCCAACTCTTTTCTCTGACACACCCCTCCCCGTCTAACAAGCCACTTCCCTAGGAAGCAAGACAGGAGTCTCCACTCCTCAGAAACAAAAGATGGAAAGCACCACGCTTCAAACCAGCGGGACTTTTCCCTGAGTTTCCTGAGCAATAAAGTGACTAACCAGATTTTGGAAGAGATAAAGGGTGCAGCAGCCTTCACCCCACTCGGCTTTCCCCATAACCCCAAGGGGCAGAGATGATCTGTCTGGGATCTAAGTCTGGTTTAGGATGACTCAAGGTCCCATAAGTAGCAAGTGGAAGAATAGGATTTGGACCCCAAACCATATGCTTATTCTCTACAGCTCAGTTAATTCTGGGGGCAGAGCTGAGATTTAATAGCCTGAACAGGATGGCAGTAAGCTTTCGGGGGATGGGGTGGGGTGGAAAGTGAGAAAGACAGGACGCTGTTTGAGGTGAGCTCCCAGGTCTAGGTCCTGGCTCTTGGTGTCACCTGCCCCTTACTGACTTCTGAATTTCTGACTGCTTTATTTTTCTTAAATTATTATTATTTTTTAAAATATGTATGGCTGTTTTGCCTGCATATATGTCTTTGTACCACACGCATGACTTGTGTCTCTGGAGGCCAGAAGAGGGCATCAGATCCCATGGAGCTGGAGTTGTAGCCATCAAGAGGATGCTGAGAATCATTCTAGGCTTTCCCAGAAGAGCTGCAAGTGCTCTTAGCCGTGAAGCCAGTTCCCGGGCCTCCTGAAGCCAGCTGTAATCCATCTTCGTCTCCCAGCCTGGGGCACAGCACCCCATCATCCCTTAGCAGACTCAAGCTGGATGTACTTACAGAGTTTTTGAGAACAAACGTTCTCACTTCTTCATCTCTGTCCCCCAGTACAGGGCCTGATACACAGGGCCGGGATTTGTGTGTCGATTGACTCACGGTGGTTACCAACTATCTCAGAAGCCCCCGTAAGTGAAGAACCTCCTCAGAGAAGCCTTTAGCCTTGGCTCACTCCTTATCTCTACTTCATTGAAGGTGACCTCCCATTTTTCTCATCTCCATGGACAATTTAATCTCCCTAAGTTACCACGCACCTCTTGTTCTTCTCATCTGGAACCTGATTAGAAGCTCAACTTAGTGTCCTTTTAACACATTGTGCCCTGGCAGCCACCCAACACCTCTGCCACCCGTTCCCTGCCTCTGGCACTGCCTCCAAGAGAGAAAGTGGAGAAACTTGCCTTAGATGTGGGAGGACAGAGGCTAGAGCCAAGTCCTGTTGGCTCCAAAGCCTGGACTTTTCATTCCTTGCCACCTCTAAGAAGCTAAATATGTGTGTTCCATTCAACCAGCAAATATTTAATAACAAGGCCCTTTTGCAGCCTAGCATGAAGGCTAATGTTTATAATGGCTTTGTGCCTTACACACACACACACACACACACACACACACACACACACACACACACTACAATGCTCCAAGCTCTTACTAATGGATGTTAGACTCATTCCAGTGACCTAGTGGCTGCCCTCCAGGAATTCAGAGCTGGAATGGATATTCTTTTTACTGTTAAATTGGCATATCATAAAGCATATTAGTCAAGGTCCAATCACATTAACAGAGAGAATGTGTGAGAGAGAAACTTGAGCTGAGTTGAGATTGTTAACTCCGTAGCTGGAAGGTCACAAAGAAAACAGTGGAGAAGACCCTCCACTCCCGAGGTCTACTTGGGGCTGGGAAGAAAGCAGAAGTCACAAAAGGCAAGCTCTGGAGGAGGGGCCCAGGGCATGGCAGCCAGTCCTTGTGAAGGGAGCTGTGTGCCTGGTGCTGGTGGCACTGAGGCTGGAGGAAGTCCTGCAAGCCCTTGGAAATCTGAAGCCTGGACCCACCCAGATGCTGCCAGTGAAGATGCTGGCACATGGAAGAAAAATGCTGGATGATACTCCCAGGGGAGGACACATGGAAGGAAGATGCTGGATGATACTCCCAGGGGAGGACACATGGAAGGAAGATGCTGGGTGACGCTCCCAGGGGAGGACACATGGAAGGAAGATGCTGGGTGACGCTCCCAGGGGAAGACACATGGAAGGAAGATGCTGGGTGACGCTCCCAGGGGAGGACACATGGAAGGAAGATGCTGGGTGACGCTCCCAGGGGAGGAGAACATATGGAAGTCCTCAGGAAGTAAACAGTAAGGAGTGTCTCATTCCTCATCAAACTAAAAGCTGAATACTCTCCCACCCCCTCTCCCTTCCTCCCCTTATCCCTCCCTCCCTCCCTCCCTCCCTCCCTCCCTCCCTCCCTCCCTCTGCCTTCTCTCTCTCTTGAGCATGTGTACAAATTCAATGTTGAGCTTGTGAGCAAAACAAAAAGAAAACAAAAACAACAACCAAAAAAACCGAGACTTGCACAGTCCTAACCTGTGATGCTGTGTTCAAGCTGCTATAGCAAAAACACCACACAGTGGGTGACTTATAAACCTCCTTCCCACAGTTCTGGAGGCTAGGAAGTCAAGGTAAAGGTGCTAGTGAATCTGCCTGCTTCCTGGCTTGCAATGGCTGCCTTCTCATGGGAAGGACCTTGCTTTCATTTGTACCTGCCAGTGTCTGGGTTAAGTTAGTACAGAGCCAAGCTTGGATGACATTTCCTATGACCAATGGTAGTGATGGTCCCAGCCTACCTGTCCATGGACAAGGCTCCCTCTTTGTGGCTCCCAGCTAAGTGTGACTGTCATTCATACTCATTTGACTGTCCCCAACACAAAGTCTAGAGAGCCAAGTGAGAACATCACAAGCCTCTAGGTAATATGACTGAGCCCTTTCCTGATCCCTTGGAAGATTTGTTTGGCTGAGGCTTACAGGTTCAGGTGTGAGCTAGCAGCTCTGCTCCTCAGCCAGAACCCTCTGCTGTCATGAAGACACTGGTGATAGCTGTCCAACATAATGACAGTCTAACTGGCTCACCTTCCATGTGGATGCTTTCTCCTTGTATGCTGCAGAAGCACAGGGGGATCCGCCCCAGCCACTCTGAGTCTCTTAGTCTTCTGCCAAGACTCTCCGGTGTCTTGACCTGGGTCGTGACCAGTTGATAGGATCAAAGACCCTCCTCCAGGGCCACCAGTTGCAAATGTGTCTGGGAGTGCATGGGACAGTACAGGGGTCATGGGAGCTCTCCAGTTTAGGGTTATTGTATTCCACAGATGCCCTGAGAGATCATCATATCTATCTCCCCTGTGAAGGGTCATGGAGGTGGGGTTACAAGCCTCCCTAGCTAAGTAGCTAAGGCAGTCTTTCTTTGAGTGTATGTGTGTGTGCACATGTGTGTGTGCACACACACACACACACATACACACACACACACCTCTAATTTGCTGAGAACTTTCCAGGCTTCACTTTGTTGGCAATCCCTGAAGCTCTATGATCTGAAGCCTCCTGGCCCCTGAGGCTGGGCCAGGATTGGCTTTGCCGTTAGCGGTCTCCATTCCCCCTTGGCTCCCTGTCAGACCTCCCAATTTCTCCTCCTGGGAGCTCTGTTCTGGGGCTCTCCTAATCTCCCCGAATAGGAATGATTGACCAAATTCAAACACAGACACAGATATACAGACACACACACACACACACACACACACACACACACTCCAAAACAAATGAAAACACCATTGATGTGGGATGTCCTTCTGTATGTGTGTTGCTTTTATTGGTGTGGCCAATGGCTTAGGAGAGTAAAGCCGGGTGAGTAATCCAAACAGAGATAGAGAGAGATATTAGGCAGAGTCAAAGAGATGCCATGTAGCCGCTGAAGGAGTAATATGCCACACCAGTAAGCCACAGCCTCGTGACAATACACAGATGAATAGAAATGGGTTAATTTAATAGTTAGAGATAGCCAGTAAGAAGCCTAAGACACTGGCTAAACAATTGTAACTGATAATAAAACTCAGAGTGATTATTTCATAAGCAGCTTCGGGAATAGGCGGGCAGAGAAAAACCAGTCCAGGGGGACCAGCAGGATGGAAAATACTTCAAGCTACACCCCACCTTTTTATATGGGAAAAACACTCCGGGGTCACAAAATTATAGTGTTGGCTTGCTTAAGGTCATTGGGCAGTGGTTCAGAGAAGGGACTGTACCTCAATGTCTCTAACCTCAGGGTCAGAAGTTACGCTGATTGAAACCAGCTCATCCCAGAACACAAGGCCAACAGCAGAGTCCCACGCAATGCCACAGTACTGGAAGGTCAGCACCAAGGCCACTTGTCTGAAAACCAGTTTCTCCTTGCCAGCCTGCACCTTACAGCCTCTGCCACAGTGACCAGTGGGCTTACCCTGGGGATGGGGTATCCAGCATCCAGAGGCCAGGGAGGGGGCCTGCAGCACTACAGCTAGACATATGGGCAGAAGCAGAGCAAGGTGAGAGACTCAAGAGTCAGACAGTGAAGGAGGCCCCAGGACACAGCACAGAGAGGGTGGGATTCAGGGAAGAGAGAGAGGGGGGCTCAGCCACCAGGTTGGAAGACTACGAAAGCCATTAGGTGTGGTCTCTCTGAAGTCACAGGTGATGTAGAACAGGCAGTTGAGAGCGAGCCCTGGGGCCAAAGGAAGAAAGCAAGGGGTAAAGGAATGGAGAAATGGGGGCCAAAGGCATGAGCAAGGTCCCCTCAGAGCCCCTCTAGAGACACAGGACACGGGGACAGGGCAGGTGGGATAGGAGGCAGGCACTGCTGTAGCAGGAGCTCCCCGTAGACAGGGTGATGGAGAAAGGGAAGGCCAACAGAAGCAGGAACTGTTGGCCAGTCCCATCTTGCTGTAGGAGCCACACCCAGACAGCAGAGAGCTCTGGTTTCCTTTAAAGAGTCTCCCCAGGGGCTGCACTCTTGTGTCGAGCCATTTATCATGTGAACTTCAATGGTCTAATTAAGATGTCTGTTCCCAAGGCATTCCTCAAGTCTGTCTCCCTAACCACGAGCTCAGCACTGTCACTGAGCGGGTGAGGGGGACCGGGCTGAGCTTTAGGGAAGGAACTGACTAGCTCAGCCTCAGCCTGTCTAATGAAGATAAGCAAGTCAGCTTGTTGTGAGCCTAGATGTACCCTAGAACAGAGAGGGTGACAGCTGCCCGGCCGTTACTGAATCATACCATTACTGAATCATACTCTTTGCATGGGGGAATTTGTGACACAAAAAATTCTTTAGCAATAAAAGGGTTGGGGTTTTTTTGTTTGTTTGTTTGTTTTAGGTCTGGAGAGACGGCTCAGCAGTTAAGGACACTTGTGCCTCTGGCAGAGGACAAGGTTTGGTTCCTTCCACCCTTTTGGTGGCTTACAACTAGCTGTAACTCCAGTTCCAGAGACTCTGACGCCCTCTTCTGTCCTCTGAAGGCACTGTCTGCATACGATGCACAAACAAGCATGCAGGCAAACGCCCACACAAATAAAATTTGATCACCTAAAAAACGTGAAAAAAGTTTTTTACTTTTTTTATTTAAAAAATTTATTTATGCCGGGCAGTGGTGGCGCACGCCTTTAATCCCAGCACTCGGGAGGCAGAGGCAGGCGAATCTCTGTGAGTTCAAGGCCAGCCTGGTCTACAAGAGCTAGTTCCAGGACAGGAACCAAAAGCTACGGAGAAACCCTATCTCAAAAAATCCAAAAAAAAAAAAATTTATTTATACAGTGTATTTTGATCATGCTTTTTCCCTCCCCTGATTCCTCCAAGATCCTCTCCACCTCCCTTCCCACCCAATTCCTTGACCTTACTCTCTTTTAAAAAAAAAAATAAACGAAAACCAAGAAACACACAAAAAGTAACCCAACAAAAACATAAACGAAAAGTAATCAGACAAAGCAAAATGAGACAAGCTTGTACCCAGCTATCTTAGTTAGGGTTTTTATTGCTGTGAAGAGACACCGTGACCATGGCAACTCTTATAAAGAAAACATTTAATTGGGGTGACTTGCTTACAGTTTCAGAGGTTCAGTCCATTATCCTCATGCAGCACGCAGGCAGATGTGGTGCTGGCTACATCTCGATCAGAAAGGAGCAGGAAGTTGATTGAGACATTCCATGGTATCCTGAGCATAGGAAACATTAAAGCCCACCCCCACAGTGACACCTTCCTTTGGCAAGGCCATACCCATTCCAACAAAGCCACACCTCCTAACAGAGCCACTCCCTATGCGCTCATGGGGGCCAATTATAGTCACACTATCACACCAATCACAACTGTGGAGTGTCTCACCTGTCCTCACTTCATGGCCACAGTGCTAAGATGAGGAGAGAGTTGGGAAGCAGTGTGAGAAAAGACTTTTATTAACTATTACTATCTAATAATCTCCAACTGTGCCAAATTGCCTACACCCAACGTTGGCAGCATAGCTCTGGCTACAAGACCAGGGCCAGGCTGCGTTTCTTTACTGTGAGCCAAAATTCAAACACCCTGACAGCCCCAGTTCCTGGTAGCCCACTGAACACACAGAGAGAGCAGCAAATGTTGTTGAAAGGATGGAAAGAAAGGCACAGGTGAAAGAGAGATTTAGTTTTGACATCATAACTTAAGAAAAGGTATATGGGAAAAGACTAAGCAGAGACTCCTTAGCCAGGAAGCAACAGTCACGTCCCATGTGCCTCTGCACATCTATAAACATTGCTCTAAGCACTGTGAGGCACAACGGTGACTATGTTAAAAGTCATTGATCTTGGCAAACCATGTCACATGGGAGAAGGGAAGGGGGAACAGAAAGCAGAGAACTAGCTGGGAACAAGGCTCCAAGCAAGGACCTTGGATTCCTTGGCCTCATCTTGTCTCCACAGATACTATGACAAGGAGATTTACTATCCCAGCTTGCTGATGAGGACATTCGGTCTTGTGGGCATGATACGCTGATAAGAGGGAGACTCGGAATTTGAGCCTACAACTTTCTAATGGTGAAATCTAAGCTCTTTTCATAACTTCATGATAAGCCAAGAACTAAAGATCAAGTGAATTAAAGAGGATCCGTTGGCCACATCTCCTTGGGAGTGGCAGGAAAACTAATGGGCACGAACATGAGCCTCAGACAAGCAAATCTGGATTGAATCTTCTGAACAATGACTAATGATGTGGCCGGGAGTGTGTTGCTACTTTCTCTAGGTCTCAATTTCCTCCTCTGTACAATGGGGATAATAGCAGTCACCCTCTCATCAGGTTGCTATGAACACAAAATGAATTAGTGTTTATAAAGCACTTAACAATGGGCCCGGTACTCAGCAAACACTCCACAGAGATCTGTTACCGCTACTGATTCTACACGTTCAGCAATTATATTTAAAACATAGCCTGGGCAGGTCTGGGCCCGTGCGTGAAACAAGAGTTTCAGTTGCTCTATTTTCCACCCTGTTGCACAATCACCTGCCCTGTCCCGAGGCCACTGCAGTGCCCGCCTTACCTAGATCCTACCGGCAACTCCTCACTCTTTTACAACATAATGTTTTTCTTACTCACGGTGGCAGGGGAATGTATAGAAAGTCCTTGGGGCTAAAGAATGGGAGGAGGTGGGGAGGAGTGGCTTTTGGGAGAAAAAGAGCACAGTTGAGCTATGGATGAAAGCAGGTGTCCACCTGACACCACAGGACACATCTCACAGCAGTGGGAACAAAGTAGGCAGAGAACTGGGCTGCGTGGTGTAACGACCTTAGGAAGTCAAGAAAAGAAACTCGGGACTTCATTGAGGATGGCGCGTTAGCGGTGGGTTTTAGGAAGATGAGACTGTACACATGGAGGCTGGCTTGCCAAGAGAGCCACGGGGTCAGGGAGTTGGCTGTCAGTGTGCTGAAGAGTCCCACGGCCAGACACAGGCGGGTGTCCAGTGAGGGCAAAGGAGAGTGTGTAGATTGCTGTAATGTGCATGTGTCTGTACCTGCCCATCTATGCAAACATTACATAACTGCTGAGGACACACAGGCAGGAGCACTAACAGGTCTTATGTCGAGTGCTTGTTCTGTACCTGAGGGTTTGTTTCAGCCTACGGTTCCACATCACAGCACCTGTGGAGGGAAGGCAGGGCAAGATCTCAAGGCAGGAGCCTAGAGGCAGGAACTGAAGAGGAAGCCACGGAGAGGCGCGATCTCAGGATGCTTTCTTAGAACAGCATCTAGGACCACCTGGCCACATCAATCACCAATCAGGAAAATGCCCCCCACACAAGTGTTCAGGTCAATCTGATGGCAGCATGTTCTCAATTGAATCTTCTCTTCCCCAGTGATTCCTTCTTGGGTCAAGTGACTTAAAACTAGTTAGCCTAGTACTTCATAAGCACTAATTTATTTTGTGCTCATATCAATTTTATTAGAGGGGTGCTATTAAAATCCCCACTTCACTGAAGAGGAAACAGAGGCCTAGAGAGCTTGGCAACCCAGTCAAAGCCGCCCACATTGCTAGTAATAGCGTTGGCACTACTCAACTTGGATTTATTCACTCCAGAGCCCATGCTGTTCCTGTTACACTATATACTCAATCCTGCAACTTGCTTCCTGGCTCAGCCTTGCCTAGATTAGGGATTTTTTTTGGTAGAAATTTCAGGATAGTCTGCTATCATGGAAATAGCAGAAGGCCCTGAGGTGCCACAGTAATGAATGTAGAATCCGGGCGCACTCACAAGCTAAGGGATGTTGGGTGTGAGCTTATTTTGTATCTACAGCTCAGAGCTTACAGATCCATCTTCCAGGCCCGGTACAAAGAATTCAAGAGCCTATAGAACATCTCCATACTAAGTCAATAAATAGTAGTTAATAATACTAATATCTATAACTACTAATGACAATAATATAAATATTAATAAGAGGGCAGCCAGGGCAGACTGAGGAGATGACTATAGATGGAGTCAGCTAAGGAGCGGTTAGTGTCGGCTGCGCTTACCTGGTGTGAAGAGCCATACTGCTTATCAAATACACCCAGTATTGTCAGGTAGGGGAGACAGAAAAGACCCATTCAGTGCCGCTCAGGACAACAGAACTCATACAGAGGAGTCTGTAGAAGCTTCCAGTCACCGGACATAACCCATGTTAAACAGATTTCTTTGGGAGGTGGTAGAAAGCCCTCCCTGAAGGTTTTCCAGGGGAGGCTCATGAGATCCACGTGAAGAAAGGGGTTGCAGCAATCACCCTCAAGCTTAGGCATGCCAGGATTACCTATAGGATTTAAAAGCCTCCCTCTGTGCCCAGGACCTTGGCTTCATCCTGCTGGGGTGGAGTCAGGGTGTCGGTGCCTCTGGTTGGTTCTGAGGTAGTGATGCCAGCCCCGAGTGAACAACCTTTGTAAAGCCGCTCCTAAGAGCAGGGTCATTCGGCCAGGCTCGACAACCCTTCCCAAAATTGTAGGGGACTGGAAAAATTCTGAGTTGTCACAAGTCTGTCATCTTGGTGAATGTATTTAATCTAAAGGAATGACATTCATTTTAATGCTTTAAGTACCCTCCTGTCCCTGATGCTACAATCTCCTTTTTTTTTTTTTTAATGAAAAAGGTGATGGTAGGTTTTGTTTGTTAGATTGATTTTTTGTTCTTTTGGTTTTACAAGATAAGGTTTCTCTGTGCAGCCCTGGCTGACCTGGAACTCACTCTGTAGACCAGATTGACCTTGCACTCAGAGATCTGCCTGCCTCCGTGTCCCGTGATAGTGGCGTGAGCCACTATCATCTGGGTGTAGATGGTAGTTCTTTTGTGTATTTGTTTCTTAGTGTTTGGGGTGGAGTTTGAGGGGTTTTGTTTGTTTCTTTGGTTTTGTCTATTTTATTTTATTTTTTGAGTCAAAGTCTTACGTAGTCCTGTCTGGCACAGAATTTGTTATGTAGACAAGGATGTCTTCAAACTCACAAAGATCCACTGGCCTCTTCGTCTTTTGAGCTAAGACTAAAGTCTTCAGCCACAACGCCTGGTACAGCACTTAGTGTCTTCACACAGTAAAACAATCGTCGGACAGCCACAAGCCAGTCCAGAATTTACAACAAACAAAGAAGCTTCCCAGAAATCCAAGAAGCGCTGTTTTTTTTTTTCGTTTTTTTTTGTTTTTTTTTTTTGTTTTGTTTTTTTTTTTTTTTTTTTTTTTTTTTTGGTGTGTGGGCACCTGCAATGAGCAGTTTCTTGGAGATATTTAAGCATCTTCTTTTTTTTTCTTTGTAGTACTAGGAATTGAACCCGGGTCCTTGAGTGTACTGCCTGACCACTGAGATACACCTCCAACCCTCCAGTGTCTTTCTAAAAGGTATTGCTTGTCATTTTTGTGGGGACAAGTGCTTGCACTGAACATATTGGGCCTTTTATGAATGTTTCCATATCATTATGTATATCCATTACTATAAACGGCTTCCCAACCTGCAGCCATGCCCTCCAGGAGGATCCTTACAGGAGGATGGTCTGTACCTCATTAGAGCAGGCGGCTGCTGTCTTGTAACTATTTTGCTGTATCTGCAGTACATGCTCAACCCATTAGCTGTCCCTTCTCCTTATGCGAATAGTTTCTCCACCCATGCCTGCAGAATGCCCGGCCACCAGGCACATCGAATCAAAGCCATCATTATACACATCCATTTAAATCAATGGGCTATGACCCGGGTACCATGTTATTTGTATCAAGAAATGAGGGCATAGGCTTAGTAAGTGCAGAGATGTGCCTCTTCCGATAGGAGCTGATAATGACAGCATGGTCCTGAGTTTAGGATGAGGAAGGACATATCTATGGCAACTGCTGACGACCAAGCATCAGGTCGGCTCACAGCATCCACCAGAAAATGCCTGGGGAAGTTGAGCTGGAGTTCCTGTTTGAGCTTTCTCTCTGTGGCCAAGCCTCCCGAGACTGAACTTCCAGCTTCTCCTTCCCCCTGTGAGCATTTTAAGATCATGGGATAAATAGTGGTACCTCTGCTGGAAGTGTCTTACCTTCCAGCTGTTCTCAAGGATAGTGTTTTTACTCTAGGGCTGTTTTGCTGTTCTTCTCCCCCATCACAGAGCTGGGAGGCAACCCATCCCCAGACTAAGGACCTAGCAGGACACTTTGAGACAAATATATTTAATTATGAAATGTGGGATATGGGGGCAACCCCACTTCCAGAGCCAGCTTCTCAGTAAGCTCCAACAGCTCATGAAAATTTACCAATAGAATGTGCCTTACTTACAACAATGTACCCGTTCCTCCACTCTTGGTCAGCGTCAGAGACAAAGCCAGCACTTTACTTTCTACATTTTGGGGGATGGATTACTATCTTATGTAATTACGAGTAGGTATGTGTTATTTTCAGCATTTTCAGTGGTTTTATTTGTTCTAAGTTTTGTCGTGCTGTCTATGATCCGGCTTTGCAACTTGATCTCACATCTCCTCCATTGATCCAAGACTGGTCTGTGGACAGACTGAGTCCTTCTACCTAGGGCCCAGCTCAGCTTGTAGGGAGTTGAGGCTGAATATACAATGTGATGGGTAATCTCAGTTGTCAAAATGGTGAGACCTAGAATCAGCTAGGGGTCTCTGGGCATGCCTGTGGGGGATATTTTCTTAACTGGGGTGGTGCCATTCCCAGTGCTGGGATGCTGAGATCCCAAACTGAGCAAGAGCATTCGTTGCTGGTACTAAAGGCATGTGCCATCATGCCTAGACCTTCCTCTCCTTTCTCTCTCTCTCTCTCTCTCTCTCTCTCTCTCCTCCCTCCTTCTCTTCCTCCCTCCCTCCTTCCCTTCCACTCTCTCCTTCTTTCTCTTTCAAGACAGGGTTTCTTGTGTAGCCTTGACTGTCCTGAAATTCGCTCTCTAGGCCAGGCTGACCTCAAACTCAGAGATCCGCCTGCATCTGCCTCCCCAAGTGCTGGGATTAAAGGCGTGTGCCACCACTGCCCAGCTCTTCTCCTTTTTAATCTTCCAAAACAAAACAAAGAGCTCTCTGTCCAGGCCTAAGGGGCTTGTTTCTGGAGAGCATAGGACCAGGAGGCACACCAGTGGCAAATGATAGGCAGTTTGCAGAGGCTACCTCCATCTTGGCACCTACACCCCAATTACCAAGTCGTTCATACTAGTGACTTTCCTCCTCCTACGATGAGGCAATCTAGTTTCTTCTTGGTGATGACACTCTCCTCAGTCCCAAAGTAAACATTAAGGAGGATATCTTGGAGGGCTCAAGCACACTCACACAGTCAGTTGTCCATTTCAAGCATATTTATAAATATTGTATGTGAGAAGTCCTTTCTGTCCATAGTCACACAGGAAAGCAGGAAAGAAAAGCCTATCAGCACTGTGTGTACATGCTCTCTCTCTCTCTCTCTCTCTCTCTCTCTCTCTCTCTCTCTGTGTGTGTGTGTGTGTGTGTGTGTGTGCGTGCGCATTCGAGAGGGCAAGAATGTCTGTATGTGGTGCATGCCTCTCTCTCTCTCTCTCTCTCTCTCTCTCTCTGTGTGTGTGTGTGTGTGTGTGTGTGTGTGTGTGTGTGCATTCGAGAGGGCGAGAGTGTCTGGGTATGTGGTGCATGCCTCTCTCACTCTCTCTCTCTCTCTCTCTCTCTCTCTCTCTCTCTCTCTCTGTGTGTGTGTGTGTGTGTGTGTGTGCATGCTATGTGTGTGTCCCCACCGTGCATCACATGTGGAGACCAGAGCAGGAGGACATGAGGTGTCTTCCTCTCTTGCTCACCTCCTTATCGCCTTCAAACAGGATGTCTCACTGAACCAAACATCCTCCATTTCTAGAAAGACTTTCCAGAGCAAGCACTTGGGATCCACCATCTCCACCTCTAGTGCTGAGGTTACAAACACATGCATCCATGCTCATCCTACTGCCAGGGCTTTCTTTGGTCCTCCTCTGTCTCCTGTGATGTGTTTCTCCTCAGCCTTCCTAGATGCCAATGGTAGAGTTCTCCACATGGTTCCAAGATGGTCGCCTGAATCCATGACCAGTTCTGTCAGTGGTGGTCTAGGTTTTTACCAATCCAGTAAGTATTTGGAAATTAGGGGAAATATTATATTCTCACCAGTGGTGGATGTTACAGTTAAACCAATACTGACCTTAAATATAGAAGGAGAAAGAAGAGGGGGAGAAGGAGGGAGTCAGGGAAGAAGAGAACTAATGTTATTTCTGTTCCTACTAAGGGGCTGGGGATGTAACTCAAAGGTGGAGTACATGTCTACCATACAAAAGCCCTATGTTTGATATCCAGAAGCAAAAAGAGAAAGAGAGAAAGAAGGAAAGACAGAGGGAGGGAAGGAGGGAGGGAGGGAGGGAAGGAACAAAGGGAGGTCACTGCTGGAGATTTAGATCAAGTGAGCTGTGACAGTCTAGAGCAGTTTAGCAAGCATCCTTATGCAATTGGTGTTCAAGCCACGCTTTGATAGTCCCCCTAATCAAGAGAGAAGATTCGAGTGCTGCAAAGACCCAGACCGTCAGATCCATACTCCAGCTTCACTGTGTGCCAGAATAAGACAACAACAAATTACTTAACCTCTCTGTGTCTGAATGTCTTCATTTACTTAGAATAATCCCTCTACCTGATTGGAAAGACCAAATGATCTGAGAAATTGTACTGTGCACATACATGCAAGAAATGCCTGCACTCTGGTGTTTAATAAACTGCTTAATTGGGCGGGGGGGGGAGCTGTGTTGATTAGACTGTATTTAACAGGAAGAAAATGGAGAATTACGTTTTAGGAAGAGTGGTGTGTGGCCAAACTATAACAGGGGTTATTCTTAATTTCTGGTTGACCTGTGAAATTCCCATATTCTGACTGACCCCGTTTTCACGCCTCATCAACCGTAGCTAATGTGCGCTTACGAGGAGATTCATGGTCAAAGAAGGTGAATCCAAAGACAAACACATAGGCATCCTCAGGAATATTAACCTTCATCAGGCGATGAAAGGAGACAGAGACAGAGACCCACACGGGAGCACCGGACAGAAATCTCAAGGTCCAAATCAGGAGCAGAAGGAGACGGAGCACGAGCAAGGAACTCAGGACCACGAGGGGTGCACCCACACACTAAGACAATGGGGATGTTCTATTGGGATCTCACCAAGGCCAGCTGGCCTAGGTCTGAAAAAGCATGGGATAAATCCGGACTAGCTGAACATAGCGAACAATGAGGAATACTGAGAATTCAAGAACAATTGCAGTGGGTTTTTGATCCTACTGCACGTACTGGCTTTGTGGGTGCCTAGGCAGTTTGGATGCTCACCTTACGAGACCTGGATAGAGGTGGGCAGTCCTTGGGCTTCCCACAGGTCAGGGAACCCTGATTGCTCTTCGAGCAGATGAGGGAGGGGGAATTGATCGGGGGAGGGGGAGGGAAATGGGAAGCGGTTGTGGGGACGAGGCAGAAATCCTTAATAAATAAATAAATTAAAAAAAAAAAAAACTAGCTAGTATTCTGACCTAATTTTTACACATTGTATACATTCATCGAAATGTCACACTGTACTTACATAATTATGTACTATGACTAGATATCATCCCCAAATAAAAATAACACACATACAAAAAAAAAAAAAAAGCAGAGGCTTTGACACTCGGAAAAATTAATAATTGGCTCAAGATTATTTCTTTTATGATGTCATTCCTGTGACCTTCAGGGTCTCTTCTGTGTGTGTGACTGAGACCAGAGAAGTAATGCCAGGGGTTCGTGGAGAGGAGAGTCCAGTTCCAGGGAGGTAGCAAGAGGGAGGTTTTGGAGAGACAGGACCAGTTTGTAACTCTCCTTGTGTGATGATTACAGGAAGCCTAACAGCTAAGGTAAGTTGTCTGACTGTATATTCACTTAAAGTATAGATTAATGGCCGAGCTTGGGGTGACTTTTCTTGTTCAGAGAATGGCAACCCGAAGGGTTAGAGCTCGTAAAGAGGGAGAAAGAATCCCAAGTACAAGCAGGGAGGGAGAGTGGCGAGAGACTGCTCTGAGGACGGGCTCGTCCCTTTCATTGGACAGCTGTTCCTAAAACTGAATTTTTGAATCTACTTTTATGGGCTTCCTTCTTCTCTTCCCAGGGATAAAACTATCCTCATTAGTAATTTTCAGTTTCTCCTACAAAATACTCAACGCTAGTTAATTTCTCAGTTAAACTTGCTGTCCAGATTACAGTCCGCCTGAACTTTCCTCAGAACACTTAACTGCCAAAATAAAGTATTGGTTGAACCCCTGCTTCAGACAGGGCCAGAGCAAGACACTGTATACTCCCTCTCTGCTGACGGCCTCTCTGGGTTGTAGCTTCTAAGGATACAGCGTGACACAAACCTGTAGCTTTTAACTCTCTAGAAACTACCTTTACAACATGAAATAGCAGAGGGCTCACTCAGCAAAGTGTTTGCTGTGAGGAACCTGAGTTCAGGTCCCCAGCCTCCATCTTAAAAGCCAGGTGTGGGGGGCAGTCAAGAACCAAAGGATGGGTCCCCAGGACCCACATGGCAGCTCTTGACTGAACCTCCAGTTCCAGGGGATTCAATGCCCTCTTCTGACCTTCGCAAGATCCTGACACACGTGAACTCATGCAAGCATACACACATAAACACAAAACATACACTTATAAATACATACACATAAGAATTTAAAATTCCAGACCTGCCCCAAGCTTCATGTGTCAGTACACACCTGCTCCCAGCGCTGGGGAGACAAAAACAGGTGGATGCCTTAGGACTTGCTGGTCCGCCAGTCTATCAAGCTCCAGGTTCAGAGAAAGTCACTTTCTCAAAAAGGAGGATGGAGAGTGATTAAGAATGACATTCGACATCGAACTCTGGTCTATGCACGCACACACCAAGAAAACTGTTAAAATTTTTAATATTAACCCAAGATGAGGTAATCGTTTTGACCAAGAATTAATATGAGGATTATGAACACGTATTATACATTTAAAGGACATTTCAGTTTGGGTAAGCTACTGTCACAGCTGGGAAAGGCAGTTCGGACCTGGACTGCTCCCTTTTGAAACAAACAAGCTCTAGCTTTGAACTTTGATTGCGATTGGCTATCTGAACTCCCACCTACATTCTTCGGGTATCCATTGGTCAATAGACGGGTATGTTGACAATGCCCTAGTCATTATGCTACAAACTGGAAATTCAGAAGTGCTGGATTAACAAGGTGTTGTTTGCCCTAAAGCTCATGCAGGAGTGGGAGCCACACAAAGGGACAATTATACAAAAATGAAAAGAACTGTGAGTCTCTGAAGGAAGAACACGAACGCAGTTTGAGAGGTGGCACCGTGGGACCTCCAGGCTGTTGTACTGTTTTAGCCCAGTGGCACGATGGGAAAGGGCATGCTAGGGACAGATTCACCAAAGACATTGCCATAAAGGATGGCAGCCAGGAGTCCCTGAGTGTGTGACCGGGCAAAGGTGAAAAGGGAGGGAATCAGGAAAGGCATGCAAGGCAGAGAGGGGTCTGGTACGTGACGACGGGTTTGAAAAACCATCTCCAAAGATTAACCTGTTCAGAGAAAGTACAAAATGTCACTGGACTTAAGCTTCTGGCCAGGTCAGAGACTGTTCCACAGCCTGAGCCTGATTGCTCCGCAAAGCCAGGACCATGTGCTCGGTTCTCACTCTTAACCCAGGGCTGCGGTGCCCTTGAAGCCCTTTTTGTCTCCAGGCCTCCATCCACTTCGACCTCAGCTTGGAAGAATGCTGCCATCACCTCTGTGCTTTTAAACCGCTCGACAGGTGGAATTCACACCCCATCGTGTTTAAAATAGGGTCTCAACGACCCACGGGCCAGAACTCCTAAGGGGGTTAGTTCAAATGCATTTATGATAAACGCCTTGAAAACTGAAAAGAAGCCGCTTCTGGTCTTGCGCACTTGGAGTGATTGGACCTGCCCGGGTCAAGGCCAGGGGACTCTCCCGCCAGGGCTGCAGGGTGGTTGTCTGGAGCGCGTCCCACCCTCGGGAGGTAACCCAATGTGCAACTGCTTGACGTTGTTTCCACCAGAGGCGACTCCTAAGTGGAAGATCATGGTGGTCCCACAGCCTCCAGGGCGGGAACCCTGAGTCCCGCCAACCCGGCCGCGAGCCGACCCTACCAGCGCCCCCAACCCGGGTCAGCCCCTCCTCGCACACCGGCTAGGAAAAGAAGGTGGAGCATCCCGGCTCCCGCAGCCAATGAACGCAGCGGCTCCCTGGTCCGATCCCCGGCGCGGCTCACCATTGGTCGCCGCCTGGGTCTCGGCCCACCGAACCTTGGCGACCCAAGCCAATCGCGAGGCGGCGGGCCCGACTTACAGGCTCCCGGGGCGGCGGCGGCAGGCTCTGAGCCGGCGGAGCGCGGAGCGGGCTGCCGTGACGGGCGGCGTGAGCCCGCACCCTCTCGCGCGGCGCGCCGCGACACCATGGAGCCCGCCGTGTCGCTGGCCGTGTGCGCGCTGCTCTTTCTGCTCTGGGTGCGAGTGAAGGGACTGGAGTTCGTGCTCATTCACCAGCGCTGGGTGTTCGTGTGCCTCTTCCTGCTGCCTCTCTCGCTCATCTTCGACATCTACTACTACGTGCGCGCCTGGGTGGTGTTCAAGCTGAGCAGCGCGCCGCGCCTGCACGAGCAGCGCGTGCGGGACATCCAGAAGCAGGTGATCAGAGCGGGGCGCGGCTGTGTGCCAGGCTAGCGGTCCGCCGCGCGGCGGTGTGCCAGGCCAGAAGAGCGGGCGTGGGAGGGGGGGATCGCGAGGACCCCGCGTGTGATGGGGGGTGGGGGTGGTAAGGAAAAGCACTGGGGCAACTAACAGAACCTTGCTTGGAGACTTATGGAGTGTCCGCTAGGTGCAGGGCATGCGCAGTGCCTGGAAAACGAGGGACCCTAAACCTTCAGAGGTGGGCCATAGTCAGGTAACTCATTAGGCTCCTGCATTCCAGAGGAGGAATGGCCCCGGGAGGTGGTGCTGGGAAATGAGCCAAGTGGAGAGATTGGGTGAGCAAAGGTAGGGAAGCAGAGGAGCACAGGCAGTGAGAGCAAGAAGGTCAGAAAGTCAGTTGGGAGAGAAGCTTATGGGAGGAAAGAGGTGAAAGTTTTGTTTTGTAGTCCGAGGTGCTTTGGGCGCCTTTCGAATAAAGGACTAAAAAGAGAAGGTGGACTCCAGCTCCCAGCCCCATGTGCAGTCACGCGGCACCCAGAAGTAGTTGTCCGGCTCCCACTAAGTAGATGATGAGTTTACATAAGCTAGCCGGCACCTAGGCTGAGACACCTTCACAGTGGAGCCCTCTTCCCCGATCCAAGGCTGGCATGGGCTCCCTCTGCCCCTCCTTATAGTATCTGTTAACCGGCATCGACTTCAGAGAGGTCTGCTTCCTGCTGCCGCCCTCGTGGCAGCCACCCTCTTGTTCTATTTACTTCGTGCAGTGTGCTGTAGCCTGAGCCTGAAGGTGCAGGCGGACTGACCTCCAGACCAGAAGACCTTGCCCAGGGAGACGAGCGTGCAGAGGGTGCTGCTGTCAGAAGCACTTGGCACTACCAGCCTAGCTTTGGAGCTCACCCCACAGCTCTGCTGTTCTCCTACCCTGCCTGCACTCTTTTTCCTAGGTCTTTCTGTGGGTTCAGGTCCCGCATTTACCCACTGGATGTCCTGGTCAGGTTGTGAGCTCCTGAAGACAGGACTGTTATCTGACTGCTCCCCTGGGGGCCAGAGTATATTAGTGGGTGCTTGTTCATGCAAACTAGATGGAAGGATGCGCTGTGAACAGGAAACAATGGGGCCCAGGCCTTTCGTGACTGTGATTTGCTGTCCACGGCCACCTGGTGTCTGGTACCTGTTTTACTAAAATGAGGTTTAAGTTGTGAGTCCTGCCCGGAACAACACAGCTGGTAAATAGGGCAGGGACTCACGTTGGCTTGGGATAAAGAGCCTGAACTCTCGACTCCCTCAGCCCCATGCTTTCCAGCCCACCCCATGACTCTGGTTTCGTTGC